CCCCAAAACCCCAAAACCCCAAAACCCCAAAAATTAACCCATTTTGATAAACTTATTATAAAATGGAGGAAATGATCACACTGGGAGGCCCTATTAAGAAGAAAGGCAAGAAGAAAAAGAAGAAGGCTCCTAAGAACGCAGGCTTCACAATAATGGATGATGATATGGCTTTCCAAAATGAAGGCAAAGAGCAATTGGAAAGCTTAAAGAGCACCAACCAGACCAGCATCATGGTCCAAGGCCAAGGAATGATCTCTATAAATAAAGATATCCTGAAAGGCGAAGAAGAAGATGATATCAAGCCTGTGTTAGTCACTGATATGTCTGCCGATAAGATCCAAGATATTATTGCTGGTCAGAAAGAAGCTGATATCCAGAAACAACGCAAGAAAAAGCTCAAGGAATCAAAGAAGACCAAGACCAAGAAGAGGGAATCTCAGTGGGTTGAGATCGACAATGAGGGTAACAAAGTAAAGGCTCTAGTCGGTATGCTTACAAATTTTACTAACCGCTTATAGAAAATAAAGAAGATAAGAAAGAACGCAAGAAAAGGGAAAAGAAGGATATCAGGAAAGAAGTCAAACTTAAATTCCTAGAAGAGCAGGCAAAGAAGAAACTTAGAAAACAAGAGCTCGAAGAAAAATTGCTAGGCATTACTGCAGTTGAGGAAGATGATGATAAGCCCAAGCGCCGCAGACATGACACAGACTCTGATAGTGATGATGAAGAGGAAGCTCAGGAAAAATCTAAGCCCCTTAATGCGATCAAAATGGATGAGATGAAAAGTGGCCTACAATCTCTGGATGACCTCAAGAAAGGCATTGAAGAGAATAAGAAAAATAATCAGATGGATGAAAAAGAAGCATTTGATCAGATGAAGGCCCAAAAGACTGTCTACAGAGACCAAAATGGCAGAGTTATCAAAGGAGATGCTATGAGTGACATGATGCTTAACCCTAAAGACAAGCTTAGAAAGCTTAATCAAGAGAGATTGAATATGTGGAGTCAAGGAGTCGTTCAAACTCAAGAAAAATTCAACAGCAAAGACAAAGAAGAGCTTAAAGCTGAAAATGAAGGCAAAGAGTATGACAGAGTAGTTGACCAGGAGTATAAGGAAGCATCTAGATTTGGAGATCCTATTTCAGAGATTAGGAAACACCAAGCAGGAACAGCAACAGATAGGGACAAAAGAGTGTTATGGTCAAGAAAAATATTCCCTCCGTGTAAATTTGAAGGAACTCCTAACCGCTTTAATATTTTGCCAGGACATCGTTGGGATGGAGTAGATCGGAGCAACGGATTCGAAAACCGATTCCTAGATCAAACTAATCAACAGAAGGCGAACAAAGAACTTTTCTATAAGTGGGCATCCAAAGAAATGTAATTTATTAGCCAAATACTCAACAAAGGTTTCAAATATAGGGGTTTTGGGGTTTTGGGGTTTTGGGGTTTTGGGG